GGTTGGGTTGGGTTGGGTTGGGTTGGGTTGGAAGGATCCCAGGAGCTCATAGAGCCATGGGATGGTTGGGTTGGGTTGGGTTGGGTTGGAAGGATCCCAGGAGCTCATAGAGCCATGGGATGGTTGGGTTGATAAGATGCTTGAAGATCATAGAGCCATAGAATGGTTGGGTTGAGTTGGGGGGGATCCTTAAAGATCTCAGAGCCATGGGATAGTTGGGTTGGAAGGGTCCCTAAAGCTCATAGAACCATGGTTGGGTTGAGTTGGGTTGGATTGGGTTGGAAGGGTCCTTAAAGATCATAAAGCCGTGGGATGGTTGGGTTGGAAGGGTCCCTAAAGCTCATAGAACCATGGTTGGGTTGAGTTGGGTTGGGTTGGGTTGGAAGGGTCCTTAAAGATCACAGAGCCATAGAATAGTTGCATTGGGTTGGAAGGGTCCTTAAAGACCATAAAGTGTGCCTACAGAAATGCTGCTCCTAAAGTACCAGATTTGGGGCTTTCTAGCTTGTATTTTGATTATTTATTTCTACGGGACACTAAATCCTTGTTTATTGCTTCTACAATTAGGGGCCAGGCAGCAGAACAAAACCATATAAAGATAATTATCACTTCTCTCTGGGAAACCCCTGCCTCGGGTTAACCTGTGTTTGTCACTCGGGCTCTTTGTACAAGGAGTTCAGTCTGTGATAACTGAAAGATGACGAAGATGCTTTGTGATTATCACTGAAGTAAATGTATGGATTAACTGGGAGCTGGAACAGGGTGCTTATCCTCACTGGAGATCAGTGGGGTGTCTGTAGGACCCTGAGTGCAAGAGGCAGCGCTGGGAAATGAGGGACCCTCATCAATGGCACCTTCTGCTTCAACCCTATGTGCGTTTCAACAAAGCTGACTCCGAAGGTCAGTGCTTTGGAAAATGGCAATAATAAAACCTGTGTGAGGTCCTGAGCTCTGCAGCACGGGGAGGGAAGGATGGGGGCAGCCCTGGGGGGCCGGGGCTCACCGCAGCAGCTGGTAGGGGCGGGTGGAGAGGTCCAGGTCGAACCAGGCCAGCTTGCTGTCGTAGCTGCCACAGATAACGTTGTCACCTGGGGGAGGGAAGGGGACATCCATCGCCGGGTGAACCCCACACACCTCCTAGGCACCCCAGGGTGCTCCGTTCCGGCACCACCATCCGTACCTGCGGGGTGGATGGCCATGCTGGACACCCACTTGCAGTTGGCCATCAGCTTCTTGGTGAGCTCCTGCTTGAGGAGGTTGTAGACGCGGACGTAGCGCTGCGTGGCCACGAAGAAATAGGGCCGGATGGGGTGGAAGAGGACGCACTGCACCAGGCCTTTGCTCTTGCGGAAGGGATTCTGGCTCCAGCGCTTGCTGGTCTGGTGGATCAGCACTTGCATGTTGCTGTTGTCGGCCACAACGGTGGCGAAGTAATCGCCCTTCCCGTGCCAGGTCACTTGCTTCAAGGCCTGTGGGCAGCGGGGAGGAGTCAGACCCACGGAATCATAGAATGGGGGGTTGGAATGGTCCTTAGAGAGCACAGAATGGGTTGGGCTGGAAAGGACCTTAAAGATCAGAGAGCCATGGGATGGTTGGGTTGGGAAGG